CCGTCCAAGGGGTCCAGCGCTGGTGCTGAAGCCAGGGGTCTGCTGGAGGGCTTAGGTCTGACTTCACAGCTCTGGGTAATGGCCCTCATCACAGAACTGGTTGCAGACTCAATTTAATGAGGTGGCTGTGGGTTAAGCAGAATAAATGCTTAACAGACACTGAGCAGCCCAGTCTGAAGCCAGCCTTGCAGATGGCTCAGGAACGCGAGGGGAGTGCTAAGAAGGGCAGTGGCATAGCGCAGCCATGCTGGCTGATAGCTCAGTGACAGCCATACAGAACCGCAGTGAGGTGTTTATTGGTGGCTTGACACCAGCAGCTGCTGAGCCACCGGAACATGTCCCTGTGCTGGCCTCGGGATGCTCCGCGGCACCGCCGGGACTGACATGGCCTCTGCTGCCGCAAGGCTGATGGCTGGCTGCTTGGCCCCACACTGCCTTCATCCCCAGGTCCTTCATCCGCAGGTGGCATTGCCACCTCTGCTGTCCTCCGGGAGACCAGCAGGTGGGGGTGAAGGTCCCAGTGCCAGCACACGCTGCCACCCAGCCAGCGCCTCGCTGTGCCCTGCCAAGCCTCTGCGCTGGGTTACTCCAAGACTAAAGGACTCTCCTTTCAGCGCGGCAAGGATGACGCGTTTCACCAAAGGACACATCTTCCCCTGTCCTACACCAGCGCCCCATAAAATTACCAGCTCCGAAATGACACATGCGTTCACAGAAAAAAGCATTCTTGCCAACTCAACGCTGCAGTAACACCTGTCATGCTGTTTGACAGCAAGGAATATCTTAGACCTGATCCAAGACTGCTCCTCAGCAGTGTCCTTTTAATGAAGCACCTCTCTTTTTGTAAGAACTTGCCAAAGTCCCTTGATAGACAATCTGGGGCTGTAGTATTTGTCTTTGGTATGTGGCTGGCAGCCAAAATTCAAAAAGATGGAAAGGGTCTTCCCAGCCGTTTCAGCCGGCCGCCCCATGCCCTCTGGCTTCACGCCGTGCAGGAGCCGGGCTGGCTCCCCACACCCACCAGGACACCGAGTGTCGGCACCAAAGCCGAGGTGCCAAGCCGTGGCTGACATCCCAGTCTGTGCGGCCCCGGTGAGCACGGGGGTAGCCCTTCCTGCTGTCCCCCTTCGGTGTCTCCCGCCACCAGCACTCGATAGCTGTAAAAGAGGTCCCTGCAGCTGGCACCCCACGGCGAGCTCTCCTTGCCCTTGGAGGAGCGGCGACGGGGCACAGGCAGCCTCGGAGCAGTGAGCCCCGTTGAGGCATGCAGAGGTGGTGAGGGGAGCTGAATTACGGAGCGAGGAAGAAGAGGCAGAAGAGGGGACTGAGCCTCCTGTACAGATGGGGACCGGCATCTGCCGCCTCGCTCCTCCCCTGCCCTCATTGCGCCAGTGGGACCTGCTGCCAATGGAAGCATCACCTTCTAGAAGAACAGAGCGTGCGGCAGCCAGCCAAAGACCCACCACTAGCGACACACAGGAGTACAAACTGGCCCAACAGCACTGCTGCAGCCTGGGTCCAGCAGAGTCAGCCGGCCGGTGATGGGTGAGGAGCTGCTAAAGCCTCCCAAGGCACTGTATGAAAAGGGCTTGAAAGAAGAGGGGAACAAGGAGGAGACTCCAACTCAGTCCTGAGGGTTTGCCAAAACACCCTGCGGTAACGCGTGAAACAATTTAAACCTCTCCTGACAGATGTGGTCCCAACAGCTGCAGCTGCTCCACGAGCTCTCCGCTGAGGGTGCTCTCCCAGACAGCACGCAGCCTGCGCCAAGCTGCCGGGCGATGCCCCCCACATGCAGCGGGGAAGAGCAGGAGGTCAGCAGAGCCTTCCTGAGCCTGTTTGTCTCACCAGGACGTATGGGCCAAGGACGGGAAGTGTAGGGGAAGAGGTTCTGCACAGACACCCCCCAGCCTAGTTTTGCTCACAGCTGCCACAAGCGTCCAGGGCTCAGGCATGGCCCCTAGGAAAGGCTGCTGCCCTCAGCCTCTACTGACC